AAATGCCTAAACTAGAATTTTAATATGTAGTAATTTAAAGTTGTTTTATATCTTATTAAAAGTAAATATAATATAAAATGTCTAAACTAGAATTTCAAATGGAAAAAATAAATAAAATAAGTCTGAAGACAAAACCACAACAATAAATTTAAAAACGCATTATAATAACACTCATTGAAATTATAAACAAAACTTTTATTCTCTGCATTTTCATATTTATTGATATTAAAATTAAAAAAAAAAACAGTAAAAAAGAAAGAGAAGATTTGAAGCGATAACTAGCTGGAAAAAAAAACAAAAGCAAATAATTAGATACAGTCAGATACATGTAGCAATTTAAAGTTGTTTTATATCTTCTTAAAAGTAAATGTAATGTAAAATGCCTAAACTAGAATTTTAAATAGATAAAATAAATAAAATAAGTCTGAAGTCAAAAACACAATAAATTTAAAAAAGCATTATAATAACATTAATTGAAATTATATCTAGAACTGCTATTCACTGCATCTTTATATTTATTGATTTTAAACTTAAAAAGACTTGATAAAATAAATAAAATAAGCCTGAAGTCAAAAACACAACAATAAATTTAAAAAAGCATTATAATAACATTAATTGAATTTATAACCAAAACTGTTATTCTTTGCATCTTCCTATTTATTGATTTTGAGCTTAAAAAACAGAGTAAAAAAGAAAGAAAAGAGGAAGTAATAAACTAGCTGGAATAAAAAATCAAATAATTACATACAGTGAGATATATGTAGTAATTTAAAGTTGTTTTATATCCTCTTAAAAGTAAATGTAATATAAAAAGTCTAAACTAGAATTTAAAATTGATAAAATAAAATAAGTCTGAAGTCAAAAATACAACAATAAATTTAAAAACCTTTTTAATAACATAATTTGAAATTATTAACAAACTGTAATTCTCTGCATTTTCATATTTATTTAATTTTAAACTAAACAGTAAAAAAGAAAGAAAAGAGTTGAAGCAATAAACAAGCTGGAAAAAAAAGCAAATAATTACATAAAGTCAGATATATGTAGTAATTTAAAGTTGTTTTATTTCTTCTTAAAAGTAAGTGTAATATAAAATGCCTAAACTAGAATTTCAAATTGATAAAAGAAAAAAAATAAGTCCAAAGTAAAAAAAACATCAATAAATTTAAAAAAGCAATATGATAACATTATTAGAAATTATAACCAAAACTGTTATTCTCAGCATCTTCATATTTTTTTTATTTCAAACTTCAAGGAAAACAGAGTAAAAAAAAAGAGTTGAAGCAATCAACTAGCTGGAAAAAAAAAAAACACAAAAGCAAATAAATACAGTCAGATATATGTAGTAATTTAAACTTGTTTTATATATTTTTAAAAGTAAATGTAATATTAAATGCCAAAACTAGAATTCTAAATTGATAAAATAAATAACATAAGTTTGAAGTCAAAAGCACAATAATAAATTTAAAAAAGCATTATAAGAACATTAATTGAAATGATGGGTAGAACCAAATCTGTTTTACACTGCATCTTCATATTTTTTGATTTTAAACTTAAAGAAAGAGTAAAAAAAAAAAAAAAAAAAAAAAAAAAAAAAAAAAAANAAAAAAAAAAAGATTTGAAGCAATAAACTAGCTAGAAAAAAATACTAAAGTAAATAATTACATACAGTCAGATATAGGTAGTAATTTAAACTTGTTTTATTTCTTCTTAAAAGTAAGTGTAATATAAAATGCCTAAACTAGAATTTAAAATTGATAAAATAAATAAAATTAGTCTGAAGTCAAAAACACAATAAATTTAAAAAAGCATTATAATAACATTAATTGAAATTATAAACAAAACTGTAATTCTCTGCATCTTCATATTTATTGATTTTAAACTGAAAAAAACAGAGTAAAAGAGAAAGAAAAGAGTTGAAGCAATAAACTAGCTGGGAAAAAAAAGCAAATACTTACATACAGTCAGATTTATGTAGTAATTTAAAGTTGTTTTATTTCTTCTTAAAAGTAAGTGTAATATAAAATGCCTACACTAGAATTTCAAATTGATAAAATAAATAAAATAAGTCTGAAGTCAAAAACACAACAATAAATTTAAAATAGCATTATAATAACATTAATTGAAATTATAACCAAAACTGCTATTCAATGCATCTTCATATTTATTGATTTTAAACTTAAAAAAACAGAGTAAAAAAGAAAGAAAAGAGTTGAAGCAATAAACTAGCTGAAAAAAAAGCAAATAATTACATAAAGTCAGATATATGCAGTAATTTAAAGTTGTTTTATTTCTTCTTAAAAGTAAGTGTAATAAAAATTGCCAAAACTAGAATTCTAAATTGATAAAATAAATAACATAAGTTTGAAGTCAAAAACACAATAATAAATTTAAAAAAGCATTATAATAACATTAATTGAAATTATATCTAAAACTGTTATTCTCAGCATCTTCATATTTTTTTATTTTAAACTTAAAAGAAAATAGTGTAAAAAAAAAAGAGTTGAAGCAATAAACTAGCTGGAAAAAAATACTAAAGAAAATAATTACATACAGTCACATATATGCAGAAATTTGAAGTTGTTTTATATCTTCTTAAAAGTAAATGTAATATAAAAAGTTTAAACTAGAATTTAAAATTGATAAAATAAATAAAATAAGTCAGAAGTCAAAAATACAACAGTAAATTTAAAAAAGCATTATAAGAACACTAATTGAAATTATAACCAAAACTGTAATTCCCTGCATCTTCATATTTATTGATTTTAAACTTAAAAGAACAGTAAAAAAGAAAGAAAAGAGTTGAAGCAATAAACTAGCTGCAAAAAAATACAAAAGCAAATAATTACATACAGTCAGATATATGTAGCAATTTAAAGTTGTTTCATATCTTCTTAAAAGTAAATGTAATATAAAATGCCTAAACTACAATTTTAAATTGATAAAATAAATAAAATAAGTCCAAAGTCAAAAACACATCAATAAATTTAAAAATGCATTATGAAAACATTATTTGAAATTATAACCAAAACTGTTATTCTCTGCATCTTCATTTTTATTGGTTTTAAACTTAAAAAAACAGAATAAAAAAGAAAGAAAAGAGTTGAAGCAATAACTAGCTGGAAAAAAAACACAAAAGCAAACAATTACATACAGTTATGTAGTAATTTAAAGTTCTCTTATTTCTTCTTTAAAGCAAGTAACATAAAATGCCTAAACTAGAATTTTTACTAGAAAAATAAAAAAAAGAGTTGAAGTATATATTAATACTAAATTAATAGTATATATTAAGAGTAAATATTAATACTTACAACATATTAATAGTAAAATAATATTTGAAAAATTATTCATATAACTATGAAAACAACAACCATTCTGTAAATAATACAATAGAGAGAAGAAACACCCACTTCTCTTTAATGTGAGACTCTTGCAAAATCAAACAACAAATTCAATTCACTTACTACAGAAGTTCAAATTTTTAAAAAAAATTAAATAAAGCCTGGCATAGTTAAAATTGAAAAATAACACCAATTTGCACCACAATATAATATTAGAAACATTATAAATCAAACATATGACGAGAATACAAATATCAAATTAACATCCTAAAAATCAAGACTCACAAATATGTCATTTCATTATCCTGCGAATAAGATTGGTGATACGTTAAAAAGAGATCAGATAAAAAATACAATTAGAATAGATTTTTTTGATACAGTTGAATCTCATTAACACGAAACTGCATAACGTGAAATATCGATTTACATGAAACACATTTTTGGTTCAGTGAGTCAACTATCAATTATTGTTGTATTTTATATCTTTAATATGAAATTTTTAATCTGATTATCTCTTAACATGAAAGGTTGCCACTCGAATCTGGAGAAGCAAAAAAATTCCCTCTCTTTTCCCTATACATATTAAAAATTCCCTGTATTTTCCATGTTTTTTCTCTGTTGTGGAGTGGCAACACCCTGAAAGTATATTGCACTCAAATTTTGGGGGAAATTTGAAACCAGAAAAAAAAGAGAGTAAAATGTTTTACCTGTTCCCTGTAACTGGTGATGGGGAGATCAGGATCGTAGTTTGCGGCTTCATTAAAGTAAGTAGAGTAGATTTGTCTGGTTTCTTCATTATGCAATTCATTGACCGCTGGTCCCTCAGTGATGGCAGTACTATTATCGTCAACATCCTCCAAGGTAGTGAGGCTGACGGTTGAACCGGGCAATTCTAAGGTCTGTCTCCTAGTCAGAAACTAAAGAACAAATTGTCAAATGCTCAGTCTTCAGCATGTGGGAAGGATGCATATGCTACAAAAACTAAAAAATACTAATGACCCCAGTAACATAATTTTTTCAGTTGGTTTTCTCCTCTGCAGAAATTTTTGTTCTATTTTTAATTTACATTTAATCCACATGGTTTTTAAAATCCTATAATTTTAATACAATATTATTTATTACAACAACTGAATCTCGAAATGAAAATAAGCATTTAGTAATCTTTTTATGACCAGTCCAATTCGCGTGATTTCTCCGTCGGTTGTTACTGCTACGGATTTCAAGATTTTTTTATTATTTTTTTTTTAATGTGAGGATGATTTACAAAAAAGGAAATGATCAGTGTGGTTTTCACCCTACGAAATTGGAGAATGTCACCCATAATATTAGAATCAAAAAAATATTACATATTCCAATTTTTTAAAAATCATTTTATTAAAAAAGTTTTTTTTTATATTGAAGTTTCGATTAGTTTAAATTAGTAACATGTATACAGTCAGACCTCAATATAAGGTCACCCTAAGGGACATCGCAAAAGTGACNATTCCAATTTTTTAAAAATCATTTTATTAAAAAAGTTTTTTCTTTATGTTGAAGTTTCGATTAGTTTAAATTAGTAACATGTATACAGTCAGACCTCAATATAAGGTCACCCTAAGGGACATCGCAAAAGTGACCTTATAAGCGCGGTGACGATTTAACAGATTCATTAGCAGTTCATAACTAAGCACATAAATAGTACACATTATGATTTTTAAAAATGGTAATACAAACGAAAACAATCGGTCATAAATTAAATATTTAAGTCTATGAATTTTATTGAGTTTTTAATAAAGAATTAAAGAAAGTTAGATTTTTTAAAAAAAATTTAATTTAAAATAAAGCTGTTTACAAAATTCCTCAAAGTGTATATACATACATTACATCAAACCTTATTTAAAATAATCATTTATGCAGGTCCGTCTCGTTTTGTAACTTCTCAAAATGTTCCTCTCGTTTGATATTTATTGCATTGAAGCTTTTCCTTAAGGTTACAGCTACAGTCTCAGCATCACTGTCATTGTCCACAACTTGTGAAACTTGTAAAACAATTTCAGAAATTGTAGCTTCAGAAGTGGTGGCAATTTCCTCATCAGTCAAACCATATACAGCCTCCCCTTCAATGGCATGGCCACGATCCAGACATCCAGAACAGATAGAGGAATATCGTCTTTTCCTTCGGTTTTGTCATCCATGATATTCAGAGAACTCACAAAACCTGCATGACGAAAACAATTTTCTATGTATGTGGTGGACACCATGTTACGCCTCAGATAAAAATTACCTTATAAGCGATAACGATTTTTAAAACTTGACCATATATCCGATTATCTGTAACAAATAATTCCTATTCAGTCAACTGGGACTTTGGAAAAGTGACCTTATATGCGGTTGACCTTATATCAAGATCTGACTGTATTTGTTATTACTAAAAGTATCTTGAAGAAAGATATTGTTAGTACTAGAGAGGTAAGTCGAAGAAAGACTGAAAAAATTCTGCCAACACAATTTTTAAAAAAGCTTTAAGTTCTAAATTTCAACATACTTGTTCATTCTTTTCTTTATCCAGATACTTTTTAACATAATCAGTTCCTACTTTTCTCCATCTGAAATTAACAATAATCATAGTTATGACATTTGAAGAAAAACTCGTACATTATATACGTAACAGGATTTTTATCTTAATTAACATTCTTAACATACAGACCAACAATCTGTTACGCTTTATATGGAGGGTGTTTTCAATATGAATTTAAACAACAATCTAGAGCTCTTGACCAGCTCTACTTCTGGTCAAAAGTATACAACTGCTGACTACAGATCTGCTAGGCAATAGTTTTGTGGTATTGCTTGGGGAAAGATATATGTGGTATTGCTTTTATGATGTTTTGTTACTTTTATCTTTGCTGCACTGCTATAATTACTTTAAAGTTTTAGTTTCTCTTTCATAAGTTTTCACCTGCCCTTTTCTGCCCTTAAATAATTTAGCCAAAAATAAAAAAAAAGAAATAGCAAGTATAGCCCTACTTATTTTGTGATGGTGGTAACAGCCAATAAGAGTTGAGTATGCTTTGGGGGCTTGGTTAGAGGAGGTGAGAGAAAAGGGAAGCACACACATGGTTTTGGAGAGCTGAGGTTAAGACATAAAATATGAGGATCCTCAACAGCTAAGTTATATTATAAAATTTTCTATCACCCCTTAATTATTTTTTTTATTTATTTTATATATTAGCAGTGCAGCTTCATAATGTATAATTTCATGTTAATGTTTTTTATGTACCTATTATTAATTGGAGTGAATGCCTTCCTGGAACAAAATTTGTAACTCTAAACATCTTAAATGATCTATATTAAATAAATAGTTTTAACACCTTGCAATTAGTGATCATTCTAATGATCTTGTTCTCTTACTTAAGAGTATATTATTTTTAATTGTTATTCATTTTTATTCTTATCTTAATGTGTGTGGTGATGAACTGAACATCACCACAGTTTCAAACAGATAATTTCGTTTTTAATGAAAGAAAGCAATTATACAATTTCCGAGCTCAAATCTGCTGTATTTCATAGATACTAATGCAGGGTGCGTAGCCAAATCTTTCAGCAAAAAATAAGCACCTTTTAAGTACTTTTTAAGCACCAAAGAAATATTTTTAAGCACTCTATACATTAACACAATGCAAAATAATTTTCAAATACTACAGAATCATGATAAAATAACCAGTTTCTGACAAAAAAACCCCTCTTTTCTTGGTTATATTAGCCACCATAAAAGATTGAGAGATTTTTCGGTTCGATATCCAAAGGTGGAAAATGAAGCATGAAATGGAGAATATCTTGCAAAATGCAATAGAGTTGCACACGAGAGTGCAATAATCTCACCGAAATCAGCTCAGTAGACGCACATGCGCACTCAGAAGAATTTTATCAAACTTGATTTTCATACACTATGAACCGACGGTACGCCGAAATAGATGGTGGTTGAATGAATTATGAAAATGGTGAATAGAACAATGTAAAAAGCACGCTTTTGCATGATACGTGGCGAAAATGGACAAGGTAAAGAAATAAATTTCATTTTCAAAAAGGGAAAATTAAATACTTTTTAAAAAGACCCAATGACAAAAGTACCTTTAAGGGCTTTTGAAAACCAAGTTCGAAAATAAGCACCTTTAAGCGCTTTTTAAAAGTATGCACCCTGTAATGATATTAAGTCATTCTGGCGAGTTTGAACTGAAAATTTGTGTCAGTTAGGGATATATTGCTAAAAAAAGGGTGACATGGTTACTAGATTTAGAAAGAACTCGCTTTTTTGGCAGTCCTCATTTGACCACTTTTGCCTCATTTATTACTGTTTGTTTTTGGTGCAAGCCATGCATCGTCATATGTAGTGTCTGAATATTGTTCGAGTGGATTTACAAATAATCATGGAGGCTTAAATTTTGAAGTTCGCATAGTGTTAACAAGGTAAGAAGTGTTTTATAACAATTCCTTTATTGAATGACAATTCTTAGGTCTTCAAATGATGATTCTAATAACGACCCTTCTTTTAAACACAAATAATAAATCGGGTAACAAATACACGTATAAAAAAGAAATTATGCATCTCAAAACACAATCATGTTGTGAGTCAAAATGTTTCAAAACACTCTTATGACCCAACCTTAAATTTACTCATATCAATTTATTTAAAATAAACATTTTCATGGGATGTGTCAAAAACATATTTCAAGTTTACTTAAAGCTCGTACAGATTCCCATTAGCAATCATACTTAAAATTATTACGAAAAAATTAAACTTATTAGAATTGTAAGAGAGTTCACACTTTTTGTAATAACTGGATTTCCACTCAAATCTGGAATTCCCTGTATTTTCACTTTACATGTTATGCATTAAAAGGAAACACAACAATTACTGTGTCAGCTATATTGGGCTAACTATACTTATTAGTTTTAATTGCTGAAAAAACTTAGAGGAAAAGGAACATACTTAAATAATGCTATCAGGGATCTGTTTAGAAGAAATTTGAGTCCGTTAACGGATCCTTCACGAAATATCATTTCATAAAAACGAACCCTTCACAAAATATTTTAACTTAAAAATGCACCCTTCATCAAATAATTTATCTTTTAATCGGACCCTTCACAAATTTGTTTATCTTCATTATTGTTTTGTTAATCGAATAAACCCTTCCCAGGAAGGAAGGGAGAAAGAAAGACAAATGTAAAAGAACTAAGTTTTGTCTTCGACAGATGCTTCTTCCTTTATTCGTCCAAAATGAATATTCTGCGTTCAGCAGTATAGGCTTAATACCAAATATTTGTATGTTACATCTCTAATTTAGTAGCAGCAATTGCTGTTTATTTTTTAAATTTTAATTTTTTTATTATAATTTTACAGTGTTGAGCATAATCTTGTACCTATTTGCAATTTAAAAACTCCTTGATAAAGCATTTTTGCAACAACAGGACCCTATTTACACAAATTCACAAAAGCAGGACCCTGGTTGAAAGAATGTAAAGACAGGACCTTTCACAAAATGTCTGGACAGACCCCTGACTGTGCTATTGTGTCAGCTATATTGGGCTAAATACAGAGCTCATTCTAGGCAGGGTAAACAGGGCGCAGCACCCTCCTGCCCTTTTAATCAAAAGAATCCACCCTGTTGCCCTGAAATAAATTAGTGCCCTGATGTAATAGACTCCATACCCTTTTTTCCCTTTCTTTCCTCAACCCTTCTTTATTTCCCCCCAAACTCTACAATAGATTTCTTAAACTTTTGTTATTTTCATCTCTTTTTATTTAGTTTGTCCTTGTTGTCAATCAGGGTTGGGGTTTTGGACGTCCTAAACTGGTTTTGGACAGGACACGGGGGTTTTACTGTCTTAAACAGGGTAAAACTGTCCTAAACTGGGTAAAACTGTCCTAAACTGTCTTAAAACTGTCCAAAACCTTGAACGATGGTAAAAGGTAAAAATTCTATAGATGTAACCATTGTACACATAATAATTACATGTATCAATAAATATTTGATATTTTTTATACAATTTACTATAACTTGGTAAAGAAAATAATGTAATATAATAGGAAAAGGTTAATAATTTTTGAAGCTCCACAATTCATTGAACAACAAAAGTGAATACCTAATCCTTTAAATATAAATATGCTTTTAATACTGATAAATAATATTTTTACATAAGGATAAATATGGCAATATTAAAAAATAATAATTTTTCTCAAAAAAAAATACTAAATTTGTTCAAAAATTAACCTTTTATTTTTCACAATATTTTTTTAAAAAAATGTTATAATTTCTGCATTACAGAATGATAAAAAAGACATCTATTTTTAAAAAAAATTGTTTTTAAATATAAATATATTAGTTTAAATTGAAAATACAAAATAACTGAAAAATGTATTAACAGGTTTGAAGGGCATAACATCAGATTCAGTTACTGACACTGGTGATGTATTACCACTATGCTAAAAGAATTGAACATGAATGAACAGCATTCTTGAATAGTACTATAGGTAAATAAACCTGTTTATGACAAACCAAGCACTTAGTCCCTAATAGCTTAGCCTGTATGGCAAGGTCCAACTTCAGTTATGTACTATTGAATGAGAGGACCAATTGAACTTGATTACTGATTAATCTTCCTTTGTTTAAATTGAAGAGTCAAACAATATTAATAAAACATTATACTTTTAATAACAAATATTCTCTAGTATATTTAATTATCAATATGTTAATAGTTCTATGTTTATTTTACCTCTTAAATATTGTCCAGATAAAATTGTGACATAATTTGAGTAAAAGGGTTTTGGGCAGTTTTGGGCAAAGGGGTTTTGGGCAACACGGTTTAAACCGTGGATTAATCCATTCTGTCCTAAACCTTGCCAACCCTGCTGTCAATACATAGATTTATATGGTAAAGGAAAAATAGCCATCACACCCCCTTGTCGCATTTGTCTTTGAAAGTTTGCAGTTACTTCCACTATCATTAAATCATAACTACAGACACTTAAGAACATACATTTATTATTTTATTAATATATGCATGCATTTTAAATAAATTACTAAGCTAATTAGCTCATTAACTCGATATATATGTTAATTTATTAATAAAAATTAGTAATTAATATGATTGCTTTGCTACTTTTAGTATAAAGTAAAAAAAAAAAATTTCTTTTACTAATTGACAATGTTTTTTAATAGAATGTGTAAAACCCATAGAAAGAAATTATTGCCTCTTTAGAATAATAATGCCCCTTTTTTAAACTTTTGCACCCTGCCCTTTCTTCTGCCTAGAATGAGCTCTGCTAAATATACTTATTTTAATTGGGGGAAAAACTTTGAGAAAAAAGAACAGCAGAACATACTTCGATAATCTTATAGTAAATGAAATAGTTAAGTATAACTGAAATATCATCCTCAAATATCCCATAGATTACGCTTTGAATGGTCCAACATTTAAAAGACAAAAATAAGCAACAAAATTCCCTGTATTTTTCTAGTTTGTAATTAAAAAATAAAAATTCCCCGCATTTTTTTTCTATTATTTCGGGTAATTTTTAAATTCCCTGTATTTTCCAGGTTTCCCCTGTTTGTCCCCGGGAGTGGCAAACATGAATAAGCGACTGAGATACACACCCAGAACTGGTCCCTGACAGTTTTTGGAAGATTATCTCTGCTTGCATTCTACAACTAGTCGTACAATGCAAGTACTGAATAGTATACTCATTTTTGTGGCAATTATTTTACAAATTTAACAAAATTATCTCTGCATTCATTTATTTTAATGGATTTGTTTTTTTAAATTTCTCTTTCTAAATTTCGGAATTAAAACTAAATTAACTTTTATTTGTTGATAGCTGTTCCTTTAACTGATAACTTTTGTTTTTCCTGTTCCTCCTAGATTTCATATATTTCAGAAAATTCCCTAAAAATGAGTAAGTTTCCTAAATAAATCCCTTCAGAAATGGAATTTTTGAACAGATTACAGCTTGCTTGAATATTAAAATGTGTATCACTAATACATAATGAAGCGAGCCTCATTTATAAGAATCAGTTTAAAACTTTTTTTTCTTCTAAAATGTTTATTCTTATTCAGAACTACCTATTTAAATTAAGAAATCTTTTAAATATCTTTAATGAATTAAATACCTTTTACTATTCAAAATTATGCGTAAACATAAACATTTCGAGTTCATTTAATGTCAATCATACATGGAAAATATTGCAGTTTTTCTGTTTTGATGACTGTAAAATTCCCTATGTGAAAAATATTTAGCACATTATGCAGCAATTATCATGAAATTTATAGAATTTTGTAAAATCCACTGGATTTTTTCCTAGTCATGTTTGTTTAATAATGAAACAAATCTTTCATTTTTATATATTTATCATAAAGAATTTTAACAAAACAAAACACAACATTCTATCCCTTAATAATCAAATAATGGTTATTAAAATAACTTACTGCGGAATGGTAGGACGTGGCGGAGGAAACTGCTGCATATTATTGATGCCAGTACCACCTGTTGCAGTGGGTGCCACATTTAAATCTTCCAACTGGGCATTTAGGTCAAAAAAAGAATTAATATGGTCCAATGTGATGGACATCTTTACTAGAAATAGAAAAAGAATTTTAATACTAGTTTTTAATTAATCTACAAACTACAAAATAATACAATTAGTTTATAGAGTATAAAAGATAATACAATTAATCTTCAATATAATACAATTAGTCCATAGACTAAACAGGATATAACCTACAGTGTTCATTCTAAACAAAATTGGTCCTTTTGATGAAAGATTTACTCTTTTGAGCCTATAAACCAGGGGTCCCCAACCCGAATTGTTTATTGCTAGTATTAAACATGTGTGCTTATTGATTGTTTTAAAATAAATAAATTTGTTTCTTGAAAATAGCCTTTAAATGTTTATTTGTAAAATATTATTAAATTGTGTCCTATTGAATTTTGGAGAAAAAAACTTTTTTTCCTGGAAATTAAATAATGCATATGTTAATATTCTTTTGACATTTATGAAAAGAAATTTTATCATTAGTGCGCAACTAATGATCGTGTTATTAATACACGAGTCCATAATAATTTCACACAATATCATGATAGATTTGTTTTGTTTTTTTCAGTGACGTGGCTTTCTAAATTTCGATATTTAAAATTATTACAATACTGTGATTTCCAATTTAAGTACTCACTTTTCGAGACACGTTCAATTCACTACAAATCATTGCATTTTTCACGTAATTTTTAAACTCTGATGTTTTGTATTAAAACGACATTATCATAACACATAAATTTCAATTTCACCTTCTTCAGGTAAAATTGAATTTTATGTGTTCTGACAATGTGAACACATAAGATTTCCAGATTTGAGTGACAACCATGTCCAGGAAATAAACACTGGACACGGTTGTCACTCAAATCTGGAAAAGAAGTCCCCCGTGATTTCAATACACAATACATAAAGAGGAAACACAAAATAACTGTGCAAATGTGTGATCTTATATTAAGATAACTAATACTAGTTTCAATTGCTGGAAAAACTTAGAGAAACAGAGAAATACATAAAAAAAAAATTTATGATACAGCAAATGAAATAGTATAGTACCTACAGCTGAACTATCTTTAAATCTTAATTTGCACATTGAGAGGTCAACATTTTGTAAAAGAAAAAAAAAATTCCCTGTATTTGCACAGTTTAAAATGAAAATTCCCTGCATTTTCTCTCTTAATTTAGGTGATTTTTTAATTCCCTGCAAGGCAACCCTGCAGGGAGTTGTCCTCCCTGCATTGTCTTCTCCCTTTACTCATACCTTCCCCCTTGTCATCAGGGGTCAGTCCAGACATTTTGTGAAAGGTCCTGTTTTTGCAAAATTGTGAAAAAATGACTAGTAATTTGTGAATATAATACAAACGTTAAGTCACATTCTTTCAACTTTCGTGAATTTGTGCAATTAGGGTCCGGCAATTGCAAAAAACTTTTTCGAGAAGTTTTTAAATTATAAATAGATACAAGATTATGCTCAACACTGTAAAATTATAATTAAAAAAATTAAATTTTCAAATATAAACAACAAATTGCTGCTACTAAATTAGGGATGCAACATACAAATATTTGGCATTTAGCCTACACTGGTGAAAGCAGAATATTAATTTCAGACGAATAAAGAAAGAAGCGTCAGCCGAAGACAAAACTTAGTTCGTTTACATCCGCTCAAATATTTAAGTAAAAGCTGTTCATATAACATTTTACAAAATTGACTAAAAATATAAATTTCTATATACACTAGTTAAGCAAAACTGCNTAATGAAGATAAACAAATTTGTAAAGGGTCCGTTTTTAAGTTAAAATTTTTTGAGAAGGGTTCGTTTTTATGAAAAGATATTTTGTAAGGGTCTGTTAATGGACCCAAATTTCTTCTAAACAGACACCTGAGATCTCAGCAAAAAATTTATGACAACCATTTTTGCTCTAGGGATTTTAAATATTGAATGACAAAAAAAAATATATATATATATTCTTGGAAACAGAACTAACTAGAATCCTGTCATGTGTTTTATTAGTAATAATTACAGACTATCAGACTAATTTTTTACAATAAATTCTATATCAACTAAAGAGCGCTTTAAAATTAAATATCAAATATTTGGCTTAATAAAGAATTTTTTAAATTTCACATAATTTACAAAAATCAAGTTACTATGCGAAATCAATGTCGCTTTATTAACATTTCCAAAAAATTGAGGACATTTTTACTTTTTCAAAAAGCACCTCAGGGAAGCAGGGGTGATTGTGAACAAAAGTCGAAATTCCGGAAAATTTCTTGAGTTTAAAAATAAAAAAAGTTTAAATTGAAAAAAATTTAAAACAAGGTTTTTTTCCTTTTTCTGAATATTTCTTAGTTTACTTAAAATATATTTGAAATTTTACACATACCTGGAGAAGTCATTAAAATTTACAAACATGTCTTTCTTTCTTGAGTTTATGATTATAATAACTATTTACTGATAAAAAAAATGAATATTAATCATGAATATAAGCTTATAAAGTATCTCTCTTTCTCTCCCTTACAAACAAATAAAATAAACTGAGTTTTTAAGTTCCACCTTTGAAAATTTGATTTCCGGAAACTTCGGTGATCAATGATTTTTTTTAAACGTCTGGACCTTCGATCTCCAGTAACTCCAAGATCACTGTTACCGAAAAGTCCGGATTTTTTCCAGAGCACAATCAGCCCTGGGGAAGTTCCCCTCTGAGGCTATTTCTCTATTGTGATCTGCCATGCTAACTACAATAGCCGAGGTGCCACATTTTTTAATAGGGAATATTTAAGAAGATGAAAAAATGTAGAAGTTTACAGGGATCGGAAGTTGCCAAGACTTAGGGGGGAAATTTACCATGGGTCCCAAACTTCCAGCCCGACCTAGAGCTAAGTTAACCCTCTTGGCGTTTCCCCTCTCTCCTAGTTTCTTACTTCAAGCGGCAGACACATTTTAGAAAGATGCTACCTTATGTGTCGAGGGTCGGACAAAAGGTATGCTTTCCCCCTTCTGCTTCAATTTGGCTAAAAGGGGTGATTATCGGTCTAGGTGGTCAAGGAGGGTCAAGACAGTTTGATGGATGAATTGTGTTTCGTGATTCACTTTTCTGAAAGTAATTGTTAAACTTCATACAATCTTGCACTTTTCTCTGAAATATCAAGCAATTCTTTCGTTCTGATAAGATAATTACTTTCAGGTTATGTTACATTATTTCTTGTCCTTAGCTTTTTCACAATGATATAGTTGAAATATAACATCAAAGGAATGTTCAATGAAATGNTCTAAATTCATGATAATTCTCGTAATAATGGTTTTAAAAAATATCTAATTTAGAAGAAATGTATTGATTCTGATTTAAATCCAGGATTTTTGACCCACCCACAGAAGAAAAAAAAAACAATAAATCCAGGGTTCAAATGGTTTTTTTTTTTTTTAAATTGGAATAGATTAATAAAGAATACGATAAAAGAGAAATAAATTTAAGGGATTTCATATTTATCTTAAATGTATTGATAAATAAATTTTCAAAACTAACTATAAATAACATAGCTTAAAGTGTAATTCCTAAAACTACTAAGAAAATTGTTAAATAAGCAGTTCTGTAGTTAATTGGCCTGCAAAAGGCTTACTTTATAACTAAAAAAAATAAGGCTATAACTTATAAATGTTTAATAATAAATAAAACAGAAAACAGCATATTTCTCTGATCCCAATATTATGATTTTATTTTTACTCCAAGAAAAAATTACTTTAGGAGTCACTTATTAATACAGTACAGAACCCGTTATCCGGAAATCAGAAAACCGGAACGAAATTCGATAAATTTTTCCACCATTTTTAAAAACAAAAATTTTTTTTCTTCGTAAGATTTTAGGATTTTTCCTTCTGTTTTGAAAGATGTTTACCTTACCATCATTTTGGAAATAATCATTAGTGTATTACTCCATCGTTTTTTCTTCTTTTTAAGATTATTTCTAAAAAAAAAATGTTTTTTTTTAGTTGGGTTTTTTATCAATAAAAAAACGGCTTTTTGTAGCGATTCAGAAAACCGGAAAAATCAGTTATCCGGAATAGCGATGGTCCTGATCGTTCCGGATAATCAGTTCCCTACTGTATAATGATTCTTTCTAGCTTTGTCCATTGCTTTTAAATTCAAAGGAATGATTTTAACAATATAGATCATGCAATGATATATATTTCGAAAAAAAAAATCTTGTGGAAGTAACAGAATTTAAATATACAAAAATAAACGTAGTTATACAAAAATTTTTCAGTAGTATTGGTTTAAAATATTTAATATTGAATTTTTTTTAAAAAATTTATCTCTTTGCACCATGTTGCTCCGCGGAATCAGTTATTCCACACTAGTAAAAAATGGCGACTGATAAACACAATGGTAAATAACAAACAACAATAATTTTTTTCGACTTATATGATATAGTTCGTGAAAAATTGGAAAAATGTGTTAAAAGGACTTCATCACTTTCTCTCCCTATCTGTTAGTAAAAAAAACGTTCTGCGTTTCTTCTTCAACGAAACAAACTGACAAGAATTAGAACTAATGATTATGACATAAAAATGCTTTGACATAAGAAAAGGTACTATGATTATGCACACCTTTTGCATAGCACCCTTGAGTTTACACACACTTTTATTTGGATTTCGAATGATATTATAGAAAAAATTGTACTTTGAATCAAATTAATGATTTAAAAATAAAACATCTTTTGGAAAGAAAAAAAATCTTGTTTGCAAGTATTCCAACAATTAAAATATATAAAATGAGCAATGATTTTAATATTTTAGTTTAGTTACTGGAATTTTCACAACGATTACTTAAATATTTTAAATATAATCAGTTATACTTTTAAAAAAAATCATTTTCTTTAAAATGTATATCTAAATGTATGTATATTTAAAATGTATTTGAGTGGAATTAAATATTTACATTTATTTTGTGGACGCGAAAAAAATATTTAGTTTATTATAACTCACTTAGTTATTTGGAGTTTTCACAGCTTGCACATTTTTTTATTATTATTTAATAAGGAAATTTGAGTTTATTATTAAACTTACTTATCATTACTGCAATATGCTGCATTTATATATTCACATGTATGAAAAATGCATTTACTAATGAAAAGAATTTCGATTTTTTCTCTATCCATGAAAATGCTTTAATATCATTAAACTAAAGTACAAATAAAACCAGTGTTTTGAGTGATGGGATTTTTAGAAAAATACCGAGAAAGTCTTTAACATTACAGAAAGAGGAGAGAGTGTTTTAAGAGTTAACTTCATTTCCCAGATAAAATTTTCTTTAATTTTTTTGTAAGCAACATAATACTTAAAAAAATTATCTAATTTAAATAAATTAGTTAAATACAGTGTACTCCCGATTATCCAGGTTAATCACCGGTACAGGTCGCACGNGGATTTTTAGAAAAATGCCGAGAAAGTCTTTAACATTACAGAAAGAGGAGAGAGTGTTTTAAGAGTTAACTTCATTTCCCAGATAAAATTTTCTTTAATTTTTTTGTAAGCAACATAATACTTAAACAAATTATCTAATTTAAATAAATTAGTTAAACAGTTCGAAAAACACGGATAATCCGAAAATTCTTTTTATTAAAGAAAAAGTCAATATCAGTACAAAAAATATAAAAATTACTGACATTTGCAAGCATAACATCAAACTCGGAATTTTCCTTTTTAAAAAATGTGCAATGCGTCTTCGCCATATATCGATACACATATTTTACGAACCGCAGTAGTGTCACCATAATCAAATCCTCCCATATAATCTAATAAAGTTTCCACAGAGCAGCAAAATGAGAAATAGTATTTCATTCATTTACTACATCTACTGCATCAGTTACTATCATCACTATTTGATTTAACAACATAACGATGTCTTCATCAGTCAAATACTGGAAGCTAGGCTCACATGCATCACTTTGAAACCTATCTTCTACATTTTCTTCATCAAGAATTTCGAAACCTTAGATTTCTTTTGCTTGTTCGAGAATACTGTTATCAAATTTTTCTTGGTAGATAAGATCGTGATAGATAACATAGATGATTTTACCTTTGACCATGCTGCTGATATTCCATATACTGCAATCCAATAACGAATATGGCTTCCAAAAATTTGGTAGTGTTATAACTTCATGAATCAAATTTTTTTAATCTTGAAAATGTTTCTCTTTATGTTTTCTGTGTGACTCCGGAATGAGGACGGATAATCCGCAAACCGGATAATCGAGAGTGTACTGTACTACGGAAAATTAGTAATATTAAAAATTCATTAATTAGTTCATTAAATATTCACTTGTATTTAGACAAGAAATAATTTCCTACAATTTACTCTAAAATGAAAAATGCTTTTTCGAAAATTAATTGAAATTTAAAAGTATTTCAATAAAGTAAAAAAATTCAATATTTTGAAAGTGTTGGAGAAAATAAAAATGTAATCTGTTTTTTAAAGGTAATCTTTTGGTTTGATTGGGGTTCAAACATGAAAAAGAACGCAAACTATTCACATCGATTCAAACAGAAATATTCTGGCACAACAGTGAGTGATTTACGATGACAGCTTATACGCCTCTCAATTTGCGAGCAGTAGGAGGTTGAGAGGGAAGGAAATATTCTAGTTGACGTGAGTTGAAATTTTTTTAATCTTGAAAATGTTTCTCTTTATATTTTCTGTGTGACTCCGGAATGAGGACGGATAATCCGCAAACCGGATAATCGAGAGTGTACTGTACTATGGAAAATTAGTAATATTAAAAATTCATTAATTAGTTCATTAAATATTGCACTTGTATTTAGACAAGAAATAATTTCCTACAATTTACTCTAAAATGAAAAATGCTTTTTCGAAAATTAATTGAAATTTAATCGATTCAAACAGAAATATTCTGGCACAACAGTGAGTGATTTACGATGACAGCTTATACGCCTCTCAATTTGCGAGCAGTAGGAGGTTGAGAGGGAAGGAAATATTCTAGTTGACGTGAGTTGAAATTTTTTTAATCTTGAAAATGTTTCTCTTTATATTTTCTGTGTGACTCCGGAATGAGGACGGATAATCCGCAAACCGGATAATCGAGAGTGTACTGTACTATGGAAAATTAGTAATATTAAAAATTCATTAATTAGTTCATTAAATATTGCACTTGTATTTAGACAAGAAATAATTTCCTACAATTTACTCTAAAATGAAAAATGCTTTTTCGAAAATTAATTGAAATTTAACAGTATTTCAATAAAGTAAAAAAATTCAATATTTCGAAAGTGTTGGAAAAAATAAAAATGTAATCTGTTTTTTAAAGGTAATCTTTTGGTTTGATTGGGGTTCAAACATGAAAAAGAACGCAAACTATTCACATCGATTCAAACAGAAATATTCTGGCACAACAGTGAGTTATTTACGATGACAGCTTATACGCCTCTCAATTTGAGAGCAGTAGGAGGTTGAGAGGGAAGGAAATATTCTAGTTGACGTGATCGCCGCTCCAGAGCTAGAACGTGAACCCGTGCATACACGGGCAAGCCGCTTTTAGCATAGAAATCATTCCCGTAATATAACGGGCTTGACACCAGGAGGGTTAACAGATAAAAAAGCCAACACGTAATGCCTCAAAAGTCCTCTTTATTGCTTTGATTATAAAGAATCAATCAAGAGTCAGGGTGCATTGCCAAATTATTCAACAAAAAATAAGCACCTTTTAAGCACTCAAATAATATTTTTTGAAGCACTTTAAAAAAATCCCAATTAGGCAGAATTGGAAAGTGTTTGACAATTGACGGTTTTATCTGGTTTTAACCTTCATTTCAAAAACAAAAACTTTCGACATTGTTTTTAGACAACTGTCATAATTTTTTAATCATATAAATCGAATGGCATTTTAATACGCTACGGACTGACGATATGCGGAAATAGATTGGAGTTGAATTAATTGCGAAAACGTTGAATAGAACAATGTGAACAGTGTCTTTCTGCATACTTCGTAGCGAAATTTAACACGGTAAAGGAAAAATCTCCTTTTGAAAAAGGGAAATATTAAGCACTTTTTAAAAACATCCAATGAAAAATGCACTTTTGAGTACTTTTTACAAACGCTACGCACCCTGAGCGTGTAAAGAGGCTTATCCTTTCTCAAATAAACACAAAACAGAGATTGTTGCGTAATTAAAAACAGCTGAAAGTTATTCCTTGCTTCGGAGACCACCTTACTTATGAGGAAACAAGCGCTCAAACAATTAAGAGGCTTCACCCTGAGTAACAGAATTGAAATGACAGCATGCTTAACTCCTCGCAACGTTGCTAAAATGTGGTGTTTATAATGCAGGCGTCGTTTTATAGCGGACAGGACTTAAATACTGCGAGGAAAATGTTCACAAAAATCTGCTTCGTAACCAATTCAGCCGTAAACATCACGCCACAGAAAATTCCTCGGAAACAATTGGCAAATCTCATAACTAATAATGTAGTTTAGAATCATCCGAAGTTTACTACTTAACTGCAGTTAACAAGCAAAGAATATTACAAAATGCGGAATAAAAATTAACAGAATAAATGTTTATACCTTTAAATTTTTCCAACCGAGATTCAATGCCTGAAATGTCCTACTTTCGTATAAAAATGATGGTAGAATTGATGATGACCGTCGTGCAGTTTTGGAACTCTTTGCAGTATTTCGCTTATAGCTCGCTTATCGCAGAACGACTGATAGGTTGTAGTTGTAGTACATTTACATCGTACAGGAGCAGCACAATGGGTTATTAGCGACGATCTGGGAAACATCCCTGAGGATAATCCGGAGACATGCCATCGCAATTTTAATCCTCGGCTGAGGATGGCTCCCCCACTTCGGTAGCCCGACGACCTGCACGCGAAGTCGAGCACTTTACGGTAAAACAGGTTAACGAGGACCAATACCGCACACCCTAGGTCCCTACACACTACACAAACTGATCCAAGTGATCACCCACCTGCACACTGATCGCAGCCAGTTACGGCTGGACATCTGTTATCGGTTGGAACCATGTCTTAGCAATCAGTCCACTGGGGGACGAATAGTAATAATGACAAGTAATAGGATAACCCTTATGAAAAAATTGAGGTATAAATGAGGTACAAACGAGGTATATTTGAAAGGTATAAAGGAGGTTGTTATTTAAATACGTCGTTAAGGTTAAAAAGAGTGCAAATGAATACCTCAAAATCAACCTCAAATATACCTTAAATATACCTCCAGAGGTATATATGTTTCAACCTGAGGTGTTTAATTTTACATCTGTGGAAAGGTAGATATTTACTACTTTAAAGTGTTTTATTTTCCACCTTAGGTTATTACTTATCAGCCTGAAGTATATTTTTTTACACTTGTGGAAGTATTTATTCAACAACCTAAGGTGTGTCATTTTACACTTCA